ACAATAATTTGCAATATTATTGAACCTAAAGAATTTCACGAAAGAAAAAATAACATTAATATAGTTTTATTGAATAATTTTTCGGATAAGCCACAATTCAATCAATTTTATTTAATTTTTCATATAATTTTAAAAAAAAAATGTGCGAAGAAACACCCTAAAAAATAATGTGGGATTTGGCTTATCTTGAATATGATTAATATTTTTGAAATCGTTTTATTATACAGTCAAGCACCCATACAAGCAACAGAATCACAAATTACTTTGCAGATACCGCGAAAAGATATTTTTCTTTTTTAAATTCATACATTTACCTAATTGTGGAACCTCTGCCACAGCAGCATTTTACGCAGTTGCTATCAGATGTTAGATCATTAGTTGTTTTTGGCGATTAAATGAGTCAAAACCAAAATCAATATGCCTTAATTTTAAGAGAAGCCTGTAGTTTATGTAGTTTTCATTTTTCCAGTGATAATACGTTATCTGTATTTATCATGTATATCAAACGAATAGCTGAAGTCAAGCATTAATCATCAAGAAAGAGCTAAAACAATCATCATTTAGGCGCACAAAAATGAAGCTTTTAGATTGCCAAACATTGTCATCATCATATGATGAGAACAGAAAAGGAAAGAAAATAGTGGAGAGTTAGTATGGGTTAGAGTTATTAGTATGAGGAACACAAAAAAACATTTTGGATTAAGTCCCTTAAAACTCGAAAAAAAGCAAAAACAAAAGGGAGTTGAGTCACAATACTACTAATATCTAATCCACTGTTAAACGCAATTCAAATTCCTAGAAAATATGGAATTCCTAGAATTGCCGGCACTCAATATCTTCAATCTAGGCTCATTGCTATTATAATCCGTACTGTAATGACGAACATCGAAACTGTTCCACCAAACTCAAATTGCTCGAATTCTGCTTTGTTTAACTGTACAAGCTGCCAATATATATTCGTAAATGTGTTTTTAAGGCAAAAGTACATTAATTGCGTATATTATTTGATCTCTTTTTCTCTCTTCAATTAAATGCAAGAGAATAATGTAGTTAGATATATCCGTGTTCGACTGTACTTACTTATTATTTACCTACATAACAATATTTTATTATTTTTTGTATTCGTGCTTTGTTATAGAAAGCCTTTTCAAAAGAACACAAATTTCAAAAGAAAAAAAAATATTCAAAAATATAATTTGAATATTTCTTCAATAAATTAAATTATAATTTATTATATTGTTAAAATAATGTATGGGGTTTACATGATTCCAGAGTTATTAAAATAAGGTTTGAAAAAGATAAATTTTTGGAGAAGACAAGAGAAAATTAAATTAAAAATTTTTATAATTTCCCAAAATATTCAAATCCATTCTTTTAATATTTAAGATAATAATAAAGTTGTACCCATTAAAGAATTTTCATTATTTTTAAGAAATAGCCATTAAAATTTTCATTTTGCAGTGAGCGCTTCATTAAAGCTAGAATACTAGACAAGACGAAAATATTCTATTTTATATAAAGATCTAAGGAAACTGTCTGATAATAAAGTAATATTAAAATATTTAAATGAATCGCGAATCAGCTTATATACTTAAGTATATAAAAATTAAAAATTTACACTTTTAGTAATAGAAATTTCTAACACCACTGGAAATCACTGGTCAATTATAATATTAATCTTAATTGATTTACTTACGTCTACATCCATTTATGTACAAGCACACAAACTCTCATTACAATAACGTTTATTATTTTCATTTTAATTGCATTTTTGGTATTCCGACTACAAAAATACTTACACAAAATATTTTTCCAATTTTGTCATTAAAAACTAATCACAGTCACAAAAAAAAAAGCGAAAATTGTTTTTTCTTAAACAGTTTTCCTTTGCTTTTCTGATTTTTATTGATTTTCTTGATTTCACTTATAATGGTCATTAATTCTACTCACCTTAATTGCAATTCTTAATGCAATTGCAATATGAACTTTTTCCAATTTTCCAATTTATTATGAAATAAAAAGTTGACTTTCGTTATTTTTTTTTATTTTAATTTTTTTTTCTTCAAGTTTAATACAAAATTTAAAAAATAAATATAAAATATAAATAAAAACATAATAAATTAATGTTAATTTAACTAAAAATAATAGAAAAGTATTTTTAGAAAAAAAAAAAACTATTAAATATTTTGAAGTAAAAGTAAAAATATCAATAAGGCATGTCTGGGGTCCACAAAGATTATTATGTAAAATCATTGTATATAAAATGTGTATATATGTATGTATGAAAAACAGCCAAGTTATTGAAGAAAAGAAAAACAATTTTCAAGAAGAAAAAAAAAATTGGAAAAATTTTCATTTATTGCTTTATAATTTCTTTTCTAATTATGCGATTTTCTTGATTTCACAAATCACAAAAATGATCATAAGCATTATTTTTTTTTTTTTGCTCTTGTGAAAAACCTCTTGGAAAAATGTGAAAATTCATTTTGTTTGCCTTATAAAAATGATAAAATGAAAAATGCAAAGGAAAATTTTTAAATTTTTCTGAATATTTTTCTTCATTTTTCTCATCTCGTAACCATGAAATTAGTTTAGTACAAAAACCAAAAAAAAAGTTGAAGATTGAAAGAAAAATTTATAGAAGAAAAAACAAAAAACGCAATGTAATGTTAATTTTAAAGTTAAAATACCGTTGTAATGTTATGAAAGTTTATGTACATGAGAATAAGAGTAACTAATATAGAAAAAAATTTTTAATAACTTTTTTTTTTTTTCGTTTTCTTACTATTTTCTAAGTCAATATGAAAATTATTATTAGCATATTGTTGTGTGTATGTATATGAGTAAAGAAAATCTGTAATCAGAAATTTTAATAAATGGCGTTGATTAAAAATGCAAAAGAAGATAAAATAGAAGATAAACAACTACAGAAAATATGAGGAAATGCAATGGAATTCAATATTCTAAGATAACTACATATATGCAAATTTAATGTGTGATTAAAATTTAGAATTGAGAGCTAAGGATGAGATTAAACATAATATGATAGTTATAATCTATAAAATGTATATGAATGCAATAATGATGATAAAAAAAAGTAGTGATAGAAGAAAAAATCAGTAAATTAAAAATAAACAGTAAATCTAAATTAAAGCAAAAATTAGAATAATTTTTTTCAAAATTTTACTGTAGACATAATATAGATTTTGTAGAGAAATATAGAAAGAGAAAGAATATTTTAAGAAGAAGAAAATATTCCGGTATATTAGAATAATGTGAATGATTAATACAATAACTAACATCCAAATTATTGAATTCATAAACAGTTTCAATAATAATTCAAATTTATTTTGAAAGAAAACTTTTATACTCAGAAAATATATTCAGTAGAACAGTTAAAAATCTTTATAATAACGTAGAATAAAATTACTAAAAATGTCATATTTTAATTTGAATTTAATTGATAAAATGATAACAAATTTAAATTCTAAAATATTAAATTTGAAATTATTACGAGTTCTTTACAGCCCTAGAGTATAATAGAGTAATTAAAAATAAATTCGGAAATAAAATGTTTAAATTGAATTCTGCAATTAAATATTAATATAATCCATATTGAATCTATTAAGCACATCAACTTACTTTATGAAATATTATGCACAAGTACCAAAAATAAAATTTAATTAACTTTTCTTAATTTACGAATTTTTGGAATTTAATTGTTCAAATTATTTTCTGTGAAATAAATACTAAATTTAATAAAATTTGTGATTTTAATAAAGTACAAATATATTATTAAATTTAGAATTTTTAACAAAATATATGTACATACTATGTAGGTATGACAAATTTCAATTGGTATAACAGAATTAAATATTTATTAATTTTATCTGTAATTACTTTTAACTGTAAAATTGGAATAATTCTAGAATTTAATATTTTTCCACTTACTAATTTTTAGATAAAATGCAGGAAAAACCATAAATATTTTAAATTTTAGAATTTTTTTTATAGAATTCAAGAGTTCTTATTAGAAATGCTTTTTCCTTATCGTTATTTCAATAAAATCAACTAGTTATAAACAAAATTATAGAATTAAAACAAAAAATATTAAATTAATTTTCTTTTTCTATTTTGTATTTAAACAATAAATAAATTTCTATTATGTATAAAAATTCTTTTAACATAAAAATTTTTTTAAAATAATTTTTAATTTAATAAAAAAAAATTTATAAATTGTTAATATTTTTTTTTTAATCGGCATGCAAAAGTACAAATTTATTTTCGTATTTTTCGTATAGATTTTTAAAAAAATAAATAATTAAATAAATTATGAATTAAATTAAAAAAATTAAACTTAACAAATTTGGACATGAAGTAAAAAAAAAAAATTGAATTTCAATTACATAAAAATTTTTTCATTTAATTTTAATTTAATTCTCGTTTTTTTCGTTTTTTTTGTTTTTTTTTGTACTTATCAACTAAATAAAAACATTTTTTTTTGTTCGTCTTTTACTATTTTTAATATTAAAATTCAATTAAAATATTAATTAATAGAATTCTCTTCAGAAATAGAAAAAAATTCTATCTACTATTTTTATTTTTCTCCTATAATGAACGCGTGGCGGCGCGATATGCATATTTTTTATATTTTTTATACATACGTATATAATATATATATACATATATATATATATATATATATATATATAAAATAAAATAAAAGAAAATAAATAAATATGACTTTAATACAAGCACATCTACTCATATATATATATATATATATATATATGTACAAAAGTAATATGTTATAATATATTAAATAACTATATACATATATGTGTATATATAAATGTACATACATACATTATTATGATAGATGGGATTATTCTTGATGTAAATATTGTTGTTGTCTTTCACTATCATTATTATCTGTAAATTGTTGTTGTTGCTGTTGTTGATTTGTATTTGATGAATTTATATTTTGTTCTTGTTGTTGCTGTTTTTGTATTTGTTCCATTTGTTGTACATAACCACGATAAGCTAATTCTTGTGCATTATCAATTGAACGACGATCCCATCCGCCACCACCACCACCACCACCACCTGATGACCAACCACCAGATGAACCACCAGATGGCCAGGCAGCACCACCACCACCACCACCGCCTCCACCACGTCCAGACATTAATTTCTTTAGGCCCATAATACCAGCTAATAAAAGTGCTATTTTTGATACAATTAAAGCTTTACCAGCTAACATATATAGACCGGCCATTGCAACTGGTATCATACCCATCATTTTCATAGCCATACCCATCATCATCATACCCATCATTTTCTTCATTTTACCACGACCTAAAATTTAAAATAGATTAAAAAAAAAAAATCATTTATTTTTTTCGGCTCATAACTTTGTTTCTTTTTTTTTTGTCATAGTATTTTTTTTTTTTAAATTTTTTTTTTAATAAATTTCTGTTTGGTCTTATGAAATGATTATCATAGAGTAATGTATTCAAAATATTTAATTTGCTTTGAATTTTAAATATGAGAAAATTTTAATAAACTTTTTTTTATGAATTCTTAGATTTTCTAATGCCATGTTATTATTATTATGGGTTGGATTTGATTTGACATTAATTTAAGAAATGAAAAAAGAAATCATGTCCATTGGCAATGAATATTGCTTTTCGAATAATGAAAGTGGGTTATAGCAGATTCTATGCAGATGTGTATATTTTCGATTTTTTTTTTTTGGTATTAACTTACTAATTACTGGAAGAATTAAATTAGAAAAATGTTGAAATTTCCTTAACACAGGGGTTGGCGTATTTTGATTATGGGGGACAGTTCCTGTTTTTGTAAATTTGTTTGGAAGTAGCATTTAAAAATTATTTATTTAGATGGATTTTAATATTAATTTTAAGGGTGCTTCAGGCACGTAGTGTATACTATAAGTGTATAAAAATTTCGCAAACGGTCTATTTATAGATATTTTAATATTAAAGATGAATTTATTGTTAGGATTCATATTAATTTACAACTTTGTATAAGTCACTAAAATTACTAAATCAGTTAATAAAAATTACTGAATTGCAATTAAATTATAAATTCTGTAGTCCTTTTCTACATGCATTTTAAATGAAATTATTAAATTCTTTGAACGAAATTTTATACAAATTTCCTTTGTATACTTGAGAACTAAAAAATATTTTGAAATTTGCATACCTATACGAGCAAATAGGCTCATTCATATTTGTTATTTGGGTGTATTTGATTAAAAATTTAATTACGTAAAAGTTATTTCCAGTTAGGATAGGATTTAGGATAGTTTTTGTTCACATAGTTTTTTTAAAGAAATAGATAAGTCAAATGAATCGACAACGTACTAGGGCGATTTTTTGGAATTCACTAATTTTTTTACATTTTAAAAATCTTGATTTAATAAAGAACCAGGATTAAAGAAAGACAGAACCCGCAAATTTTCAAAAATTTTAGAGTCTTTTAGAATCTTGATGTTAAACTTCTAATCATTGCACAAAATTAACGGAAATTATTAAAAAAATATAGTGAAATTGAAAAATCTTTGCTCATTTAAATTTTAGAATTTTTAGACAAATTATTCAGAGTAGTTTTTTAATTCACTTATTTTGATTTTTAATAATTCTATTAGTAATTATTTTAACAAACCTGTACTTAATTGTCTGCCAATTTCTTCTGTATCAAATTGTGGAAAATTAATTTGTAATGTATGACCATTAAAGAATTTTCCAATTCTTTCGAATAACATTGTTGTTAATTGTGTATCACGATCTTCAATATTTCTTGGTAATTGAGAATCAATTTCATTTTCATTAAGTGCCCGACTAATTGGTGTCGGTACATTTGGTATACGAACCACTTTAATACCATCACCAATATTAATGGTATCAATTAATTCAATACGATCAATAAATGAAATTGCTTTCTTTTTTAAACATGGCACAAAACCGCCTTCAACAGCCGAACATTCATTATATACTTTAAATGCAGTTCGTAATCCAGCATTTGTATAATCCTCTGAATTATGTTGTTGTGTTTGTTGAATTATAGGTGGTGATGGAGAACCATAAATTGAATTTAATGATATTAAAATCACTAGAGAGCCACTTAATAGTTTATGCACAATCATAATTGTAAATTAATTTATTTTTTTTTTTAATTATTAAAATAATTAAAATTTTTTTATTATATTTCTTTTTTTTTATTTTTGTTTCGTGTGCACTATGAAATTTTTTTTTTCTCTCTCTTTATACGTTTTATATTTTAACACTTGAATAGGGCACTACAAATAATTTAAGAGATATCCTTTTTTCCTTTTTAATTAAATAATATTACGAAAGGTTATAAACTATTAAAAACCGTTTACCAAAAAATTAAATTTCTTTGGCACCGGCAGGATTTATTTTCTTTTTTTTTTTAATTAGATATATATATATGTATATATTTTGGCTTATTCTAATGTGATTTGTGCAACAGCTTTAAAATAACTGATGTTAAATTATAACAAACACAATACTTTTATAGAGGAAAGTCGTTGAGGTACCCAAATACCATAATGAAATAACATTTTATAGGAAAAAAAAAATTAAATAAAAATAGAAGAAATAAATTAAAAAAAAAATAATAATGATCAAAATAATCAGCAAAATAGCAAAACTCTAAGGTTGAGAAGGAAAAAGCTAAGCATGATAATCACAAACAACCATACATACAACCATCATCGTCATCATTACAGAATTAAAAAATTATTATCAACATCATTATCAATAGCTGTTATTGTATGACTACAACAGTATAAAACCGATATCAACATCAATATCACGATGATCATCCAAAAGTTGTTAAAGAAGCGACCAGATAGGGAACCAAAAACAAAAAATAAAATTAAAAAAAAAAATCTGAATAGAATACGAAAATAAATAAAGAAAAAACTCATAAAAAGTCAGAAGAAATGGTAAAAGAAATTATAAAAAAAAAGTAAAGGCAAGAAAACTAGATAAATGTGTTAAAACTTATGGGAATATTCCAACCTCTATACCAATGCGAAAACTAAAAAAAAATCTTATAGCTTCAACTTTTTACAACAATGAAAACGTAAAATAAAAAAAATTCAAAAGTATAGTAAGCACATTGCAGCGATGATTTGGAAGTAGTGGTAGTATAGTGGCAGTAACGATAGTAATAGAAGTGGTGCAACCATACAAATATACTGGTATGTATATAGATAAAATGCTTACAAACTTTGGAAAAACGTGACTTAATAAGTGTTTTTTTTTGTTTTCGGTGTTTCTTTACGGTTTTCTTTAACATTGTAATAGAAATAAAAAACAAGATAGAAAAAGAAAAGAAAAATAACTGAATTTTAAAGGTAAAGGTAAAGGTTAAAAAGGAAGCAGACACTTTTTTTGTATAGAAGACTTGCAAATACGTTGGTATTTGTGATTTAAGGTTACCATCATGCACTTAATTTTGTATTTTCCAGAGGATGGTGCATTATCATGACCGGTTATTTAATGAACTTGGCTTGATTGTGAACAATGTAATTTATTACAAAAAAAAGTTGAAAAATCTATGAAAACAGTAAACGACAAACAAATGACAGCAAATTACATAAATTTTTGATATAATCAAAAACATAAAATATCTTCACAACAATTGGGTAAACAGAGACAACAGAGACCCGAGCGTTTCTCAATTCTCGATTTGCTCGCATTACCGAATCTACACAAAAGTAAGGAATAAAGGATTTTGAATTCACTATATTAGAAAAATTATAAAAAATATTATGTCATATTGCACAAAATATCTGTATTTTTTTTTTTAAATAAATTCAATATTTTTAGATTCCAATTCAGTAACCTTCGATTTGGTACATAACACACCAAAAATCTGATGTGCTCAAAATTGGAATTAATTTTTTACAATTTACCTGCAGTAGATTTATTAAAAAATTTAGGTAAAATATGTAGAATCAACAGAGTTAAAAATATTTTTAAATTTACTTCACACAAATAATATGCAACACCCATTCTTCGTCCGAATTTGAAAATTATTTTCAATTTATTCTCTAAGACCACGTCACTGCAGCCGTAACGACTTGTTGTAACAACTCACCGCAGCTACACTGCGACACTCACGCAATTTTAGATTTGTTCAAGCTCTGAGCTTAGTGGCCTTACAGATATGTGTATAAGTCATCCTCCTGCATTTAAAAAAAAAAAACTTAATCTTAGATTTTAGAAGAAAAACAACATTGGTATATCAACAAAAGAAAAAAATCCATAGAACTAGTGTTTGAAGTTAAATGAAATTTAAATGTTTAAGTACATCTGGCAACCCATATTTTTTTTTAAATTTCATTTTACATTTCACTATCCGAATACATGTGTACTTGTTATTTGAAAATAAAAGGTGAATTGCATTCGATTATAGCGGATTGTCATCATAAATATATACACACATACATATGTGTGTAATACAATTTTATTTTGATATCAATTTGAATTTTAACAAAGAGAAAAGCGCGCAAAATTTTCATAACATAATATTTTTCTATGTATTGGTGTTTTTATATAATTTTCCTTCTATTTTTTAAATTTTCTTTTCAAATTTGTTTGTTTATATATTTTCATTCAATGAAATTTCATCATTTTATACAAATTTATACATACATACGCATATATACAAAATAATATATCAATTTTTTTTATACATCACACCGATTTGGAAGTCAAAAAAACAAAAAGACCAAAATTCAGCGCCATGTCATTTTCCACTTGTGTACAGTATCAAAAGTGTTTGCGATTTTCGGATTGGGAAAAGAAATGTACATTTTCATACATACATTATAATATGTATGTATGTATGTATGTATGTAGATATGTATGAAATTAAAATAAGAAAATATTTTTGATGAAAAACACTTCAGACAGAGAGCAGGTTGATTAAAAAGAAATTAAAAAGGAAACTGATATCAAATTTAAGCCGGAATTATGTTTATCCAATAGCATGTTGTTATTATGTGTATATATACCCAAATATATACGTATCTTATACCCAAAATGCCATTCATTCGATTTGAAATTGAGAAATAAAACTCAAATTCAAAACTATACGAATTTTTTATTACAATATCTTCTTGGATGTTGTATTAAAGTCAAAACTTTGGAAGGAAGGATTTTTATTTTTAGACAAATATTCAAGTACACATACACATAATATTGAATAAACAGACATACAAGCTATAGATAGATATTATACGGCGAGTAAGTAAAAGTCTTACGAGAAAAATTTTTAATTTTTCAAAAATTATCACTGGAATTTTTTAACATTAATAAAATTAGAAGATAAATAGTTTTGTAAAATGACTTGTCTGTTTTCTTAGCTTAAAGAAATTATGTGTTTTTCATATACGGTTGATCATTTATCATGTTGTTATAATCTCAATTAAATTCAATTTCAAGTGAAGTTTATATTCAATTTATTATTGATTTCCAATTTTATTAAAATTTAAAATCATTTTTATTATTGCGTATGAATATTTTATTCAATATTTTTAATTGTGTTTCTGTGACTATTGTATTGCTAATTTATAAAAAATTTCGTAAATTAATAATTTTTTTTTTCAATTAAACAAACTAACAAAACATATTCATTGGGCATGTAAAGTGACCGCCTTGTAAAATAATAGAACAAGATTAACATTATTTTTTTATAAAAGTGAAAAATAATGAAGAATTTAATTATGGTTCATTTTATTTAATTTTATATTTTTGTTTATAAAAATATTAATTTTTTCACTAAAACTAATTAAAAAATAATTTTGAAAAGGCGTTGAACGTAAAAATAAAAAATTTTAAAGAAAGAAAGTGGTCATTAATTTAATTTTTTTAATTTTACATGAACAAAAATTTTTTTTACAAGTATGTTTATATGTAAAACAGGAATTATTTTAATATTAAATAAAATCTAGTGTAATAAAAAGGTTAAAACTATTATAAAATTAAAAAAAAATAGCAAAAAGTAAAAATGAGAATTACACTTTCTTTTAACACGTGACGTGATACCAGCAGCAGTTCTATAAAAACATATCTGTTGGGTTTTCTATAATAATTTTATAATAAATAAATTTCAAGAACACAATATTTATGTTAATAAGGTAAAAATGCCTAAATGAGAATTAAATAATTTCGAACAAATTGATTGAAAGGCTATTTAAGGTTGACTTCTTAAAAATAACTTTGACCCATTAGTAAAACCAAGGAGGCCATGTCAGTTTGCGATTTATTGTGACGGGCTACTATTATAGCCATATTAGAAAATAATGGAATGTATTTTCTAGTTAGAATTGTCAAAAATATACCAAATTTTGCTGAGTTATCGGTTTTAGTCTCTATCGTATTTAAATATAGTTGCGCTTCCATTTCAAGAATAAATTATTATTATATTTGATTATAATTTGAATCAAAATTCAAAATTTTGCAAAATTCTTTGCGCTTAAAAGAATAAGGTATCAGTATATTGAAGATATATATCTTCGTTCTTGTGTTAAATTATCTCAATCGCCACAACATAGTTTTTAAGAAGAGCAGTTTTAAAGTTTAGACTTTTCTATATATCTACATACGTAAAACAATGGATTTTTTGTTCTAATGAAGAATGAATTCGACAGAATTTTTTTAAATTTTCAGGAAGTTTTCAATGTTATTCTAACATTGAGTTTTTCGCAAAAGTTAACCTCTATGAAGAATCAACAATTTTCACTATTTCATGAATAGAGATCAGTGTCAAAATTGTCCGTATCAATTTTTTTTGGACTAATATGTTCCCCTATGATATTGGCAATTCGTGTAACTAATTCACACTAATTTCTAGATCCATTATATTTTGGAGGCATTTCAGAATTTTCAAAATTTTATTAAAAATTTTTCATATTCTAGCATTAATCTTATGAGGTATACAAGGTCTCTCTTTGTGCTGCTACCATAAAAAAATAATTTTATATAAGTTTTTATAACACAATATTAACAATACTCGAATTGCTGCAAAAAATTCAAAAACTTCCAAATCCATAGCAAAACAACAGATCTTTCTGGCATGCTTTAAGTGGTAATTAAATTTGTTATTGAA